ATAATAATAATAATAATAATAATAATAATAATAAGAATAAGAATAAGAATAATAACAACAATGATAGTAATAAAATAAAAATAAAAATTCAAATAAAATTAAGTTAACTGCATATCAATTTCGATGAAATTTAGCCTTTGTAGAATACCGCCTCACCTACTTATTTCGCGGCCGATGAGGCGCTCACTCGCGTTTCAGTCCCAATCTTCAGCCGTACTGGGAAACAGTCCTCCCAAAACGATCTCACTAGGCTCGATCTAACAGAATGTTCTAGAAATTTCTATTTCACTCGCAAAAACGAAGTTTTTCATATATTGATTTCTTCGAAACCTTTTTCAATCGCTACAAATGCTGTTGTTTGGAAAAGTTTTAATGATAGCTCCCGAATACTGAGTGCTTTAGCTTTATATTTATGGCTCTTTTTGAAAATTTATAAGATTTTTTGCGATTTTACGGAATGGGTGTCATTTTATTTCCGTTTACCTCCGACGATTTTCCTTGAATAAATCATAACGGCCATGGGAACGCCGTTAATTCGATTCATTTTTTCAAGAAGGAAAATGCTCGTATTCGTTATTGCCATGCCAACAAGTGAATGAGATTTTGCCGTAGAGACAGACGTCTAAGCAATGTTGACATTTCTGATTTATTCTGTTCTGTTGTAGACCTGACTGGCTCTTCTCAAAGCCTCTTCCACGCACTTTTCAAAGCCAGCCTACAGCTTAGCCAATCCGAACTAAGTTTGACTTTTACAGTTTCCCTGCTTCGGTAGCACGTCGTGCTCAGTTCCCTAGAAGATCGTTGAAGGAGTTACGAATTGACGTCGGCAAAAATCTGGAGCCGCTAGTACATCGAGCAAAACAGGGCCTTGAACGGATCACCGAAGATCCGTCATCACCGGCTTCAGGTGATGAGAAGGTGAGTTGAATATGGCTCGACGGTCCTTTGACTCGATCCAAGACACGGTGTTTCAGCCAGTTGCACCGCCCAGAACTCTTCGTGCTCGTGTGAAGGATGCTGCACCCGGGTCGACGGCTGCACAACGAGCCAATTCTCCAGCTTCGGTGGCATCTGATCCGCCCATGAGCGAACGAAGTGTAGCAGAACGTATCGAACAAACCCTACATGCTCACTACTACACTATCGCTTACACGCTTGTCATCGTCGCTGTAGGTTTTACTTGATATTGTATGCAAATTCCCACCTTTCTCAACCAGATACCTACTTTTCCTACTACTCTTTTCCACCAGTTCTTATTCCAGTACCTTATCGGATTCGGAGAGTATCTATACTTTCGGCTTGTCTCAATTCTAATACCGGAACGAACTTTCTATCATCCAAGTTGTCAAGAGAAGCAAGATCGTCGAGTCGGCAAAGATGGTTTCCACTATGGCGTCTCCATCGGTGCATTCATCGCCATCGCACTTTTCCAGTTATTCGTGAGTTGCTCCTACTTATTGTTTTGGAAAACGCCCAGTTTTTTACGATTGGTTATTTAGTGCTAAGTCGAGATTGAGCAAGAGGGAAAGAGTTGGAGAGGAAAGGTGGGAAAGGGAGAGGGAAAAATGTAGAGGCTCGTCGGGGAGGATTTTCTCCAAAACCTACCAATTGTCCCTCCGAGCCCTTCCAACTTCTTTCCTCTCCATGCGACTCCTATCTCTCCATATGACTAGATCCCACTCCTGACAAAGCGTTTTGTAATCCACTTTTGACCCTGAGTTGTCTTCGCGTTGAAGGCCAACATTTCGGCACGGTTTTGAAACAGTCACTAAAAGATCTATGATTTGCGGTTTTCAGACCTACTCGACGTAATCGAGAAATGAGGACGTGTTCGGTGTTAATGATAGAATCGTTCCATTAAGAGTAGTAAGTGGGAGTAGAGGTAGGAAGACAAAGTTGGGAAACTGAAAGAAAGAGTTACTGATAAGGCGTCAAGGTTTTGCCGGTGGAAGCTGGTAGCCGATGTCTAGGCAATCACCAATTGAAGTATAACTCGATTTTGCTGTAAAACTTCCCAACACATATCTCAATCCACAGAAATGTTAACGAATCAGTGTGAAGGTGAAGGCAGCGGTGTGGTGGCAAGCGGCGCACTACACCACACGCACGGTCAGGGGTTCGAATCCTGGATCGATGCCCGCCGAGGCCAACCAAGCCTTCCATCACTCCGGGGTCGGTTGATGGGTACCAGACTCGTATGGGAGGATAAAAGCACTGACTTGTACATCGGCTGGCCACCGCAAGTCATTGAATAGGCCACATACGCACTCATTACGCCACTACGATTCTGAATGGAAGTCGAGTGCGGGGGCGCATCTCTCAGACGGGATTGATCAATGCCAAAAACAACAACAAACAAACAACAATTACAACAACCCAATTACTGTACATGCCTTCAGCATTTATCTGAGAGCAGAGTGAATTTAATTCAAACTGACTAAACTACCATAAACGCAAATTGCTCGGCATTGTTTTTCTATGTTAACTTTATTTATTATCTTATGTAATTTATGACATTTTTACGACACTATATTTCTTGATTCATTACTATTCGTCATTACCATAAAACTTAAATTTGTGCTAAGTTTTTCCATTCACTCGACTTCCATTCTGCTTCAAGGGAGTTTTTCTGCTCGTTGGGGCCGAACAAAAAGGAGAATAATACTATCATGATCATTTCAAACGCTCTTTAGTATTCAAATACTGAAAATTCTTGTTGATGACGGTAGACTGGCTTCAAAGGTGCCGAACAGCAAAGAAAAAACGTTTGGTGCTTTTGCTTCGGGTCCTTCAACAATATTCTTCAGAAAAAAAGTTATTTAATCACTAAATACGTCACTACTGGTCTCTGACTGCTATCTGTACTCATTGATAAACGATTTCAGTGTTTCTTTGCGCTCACCATTTCGGAGAATTGGACCGTTTGCAAAACAGAGTACAATCCACTAAATCAGGTTCGTTTATAAACGCTCCACGTTTTTTGGATTTTTTTTTTGTTGCTGCTTCCAGAGGCCCAAAAGCCCTTGTTTTTTCTCAGTAGAAATCGAGTGATTTTAATTACTTCAGATTGTAAAAATGCAGCATGATCTAGCAGCCCATATAAGGAAAACTGTCAGCCAATCAATGTATCGAACATTTTGTAAGTTTATTTGCTATCCTTTCTTAGAACATTTTGCTATTTTAACCATATAACAAAGCGTTTTCAATCGATCAATATTGATCAAGCCTTTGCCGTTTCAGTATGCTACGGTATATGCTCGTTCATCAACTGTGGCATAATCTTCTATATGGTAGCCATCCAGGTAGGATCTTCAGCTTCTTTCACATTGTCATTTTTACTTCCTTTACTGTACTTCAGGATTCGTTGGGAGATACTGTAAGCAATGTTCTGATGTATGTTTTTGATGGTGTGGTTATACTGTATTTCCTCGCATTTCCACTTACCACCGTGATCTACCATCCCCATGTACACTGCTTCCAAAGGTACGATAGGTTCTTTCATAGTTCACGAAAGCAGCACTTTGAGTTTTAGTTTTGAATGAGGATTGAACTAGAGAGAAGATTTTTTTTGTGGAGCATGGTATACAGATTGGAGCGCCGACTTTGCTCAGAAAAATCAGAAAATTCTACCGATAGTTGTGGGCAGGACAGTTCCAGTGATGGTAGTAGTACTTAGCTCCTCATGGCCATCTTGCGAAGGGCATTCCACTCTCGCAGGTCTGCTGGACGTCTGATGGCTCTAAATATCCTCAACAACTTCGATCGACTTATATGGGCTTAAGCAGAAGCCCAACCTGCATCGAGAACGTCTTAGAATTTCGAAACCCCGACAGTATAGGTGAGGCAGAGAAAAATGCCCTGGACAGAAATAAAATTCCCGACGCTCGTTTAATTCCGTTTAAGAATCGCCAGGCGATCGGCTTCCGCTTGTCATTACAGTATCTTCGAATACTTACTCATGGTGGCTTATCGACTTTCGTGTGTCTCTATCTCTCTAGTTAGGGTACGATACCGTCTTACTGGTCCCGTGACTCTAGAAAAATAGCCTGGGCCGGTACATGTATTCAATCCGGTGATAACAGCGCCAATTGGCACTACACCATTCCCACCCATCATGCTTATGTTTTAGTAACCAAAGGGTAGTGAAAGGAACCGATGGATCACGTGAAAAGAATAGAAATATTGAAGAGAACGTGCAGGATTTTATTTGTACTTCACTCGACGGGTACGCCTCATAATGAGTACGGTAGTTATGGCAAAATTAAACTGGTTATTAGATGATCTCAACAATTTTTTTCATTTT